AATCTACTTACCTCTAAAGAAAGAAAAATGATAATCACTCCTTGAGATCCAAATACAATACCATTTGAAACTGGAATGATAGGAGAAATCTGCCTCAAAAAGTTGTATCAGCGAGAGGCGACGACGCCATTTTCGAAAATTTTGTGCATTTGCGCGCTTCTTTCGCCGTGACGTCATAATGGCCATGATCATAGGGTCAGCCAAATCTGACGTGTTCACCTCTCCCTCCTGCTCCAGTTCAAACAGTTCACAGACAGTTTGGAATATGAGGAATAATGAAAAGGACAGAAAATTATCTGAGATTACTTTGGTGGACGTTTTGTAGCGATTTGTCTAGTTTTATAGGATTCATCGGTTTTCGAGCAAAAGAGAGACTGCTCGCAGTCTAAATCTTTTTGTGAGGATCAGCCAAAATTTGTTATCGTACTCTCGGCCTGCCTTGAACTGGGCAAAGCAATGCAACACACCGAAATCAATTCTTACCTACCCGGGGAGCTCGCAAACAACGAAGAATGCAACAAAACAACACTGTAAGTCAAATTTAATTACTGATATAAGCGTTGGAATTTATACTTATACTAATTTGCTTCGTTTCCAGACATATATAAATTTAGTCTGCACAGTCCTGGGGCTCTAATCGTTTAATAGCTTGCATTGGAAAACCTGTGTGACGAGGGCAAACTTAATTTGATGAAAACCAAACTAACTTTCCTATATTACGTCAGTTGACAATTTTCTAATGTCACATGCAAGAATAATAATGGATACTTAGTTATGGAACTTTTTCGTAATGATATTCACAAGATGAATAGCATTTACTTTAATCTTTGAGTGGGAGCTATTCAACTTCAGGACATTGGGGGCTTATTGGCTAGGGGCTATTCTTCTCAAGGGCTTAACAACTTGCAGTCTGAAATTTTGGTTGTTCACAGCCATGTCCCCTGGGGGAAGTGAAAATGGTGATCAGATGCCCTACGTCAGATCACACTAGGTGACCAAAATCCTTAACAGAGAGACATTCATGGCAAAAATGACTGAAAAAATTCACCCTGGTGCAGCGGCATTGAGCTTTCACCACCTCCCAAGTATGTTAGCAAGCAACAAAAAACTTTGGAGGTCAATCCTTATGAGCGGCATTGTTGTGGAAGAATAGGAAGATTTTGAGACACCTGATTCAAATTTGCCACCTCCTCTCCCAGATGGTGTTAAATTCCCACCACAGTATGTAATAACCATTGTTCTCAAATTTTTGCCCTCCTGAGAACATCTATGATCGAGTCAAACGCCCAGGGGTGCTGATATCTATACAGACCCTGGACTTTGTAAATTATAGGAAAGATGCTTTCTGCTTCTGCACCAGACTCAATGCAACAGAACCTGCAGAAATTATTGCAATCGTATTCCTTCCTGTTACTCCCTATTTTCAAACTTTTGTGGGAGTAGAGGGCATTTCCATGCTAAAATAACCTCATGGTTGTTATGTTGTTATGTTGAGATTTTTCCAGTGGGAAATAATTTCAATTGACTAAATCCCACAGGAAATCAGCCATACCAAGAAGCATGCACTAGTTTCTGATTGCTAAACCTGTTGACAGTAATTGACAGTTGATGAAATTGGATTACAACGAAATTGGTGGGCATGATGCCGAAAGCCTGGTTCTTATTGCCTCCCTAGACGTTCCTCATTTATGCCAGTAACAGTCAGGTTACCACTTATGGGAAGTTTGACTCGATATGCTGTGCTCTAAATTTGATTTGTTAATTTAATGGGTTTGAAATTGCAGTTTGATTTCTATTTTGAATTGCTTTAATCTTAATACAAAGAAAAATAAAATCAACTGATTCAAACAATTTGAAACCCATATTATTAAGCTTTGAAATAAAATCAGTTCTTGCTGATTAAATATTCTTGGGGCAATAACACTACTGGCTATATAATTATGGTAACCGTTATTGAATGGCAGATGCAACACACAAAACATAAACGCACCTTTCTCTTTCAAGTTCATCCCAGCCATTTTTAGTTGTGCCAGTTTTCTTGGTGTACTTCTGCTTCACATCAAGACTTAGATTGAAAAATTTGTCGTATGTCTCAAAAGTGAAATCAATCTGCAAGGTATTGAAAATAATTGTTATTTACAGATGGTATATTCATCTATAGACGCATTATTCATGAGTTATTAATGTAAATAATTACATCAAATGAATATGCCAGTGCCTCTTTTTTATTGAGCACATGTTCTGTGCATCACATAATGCATCAATCATGCCACATTAACTTTTAAGGGTTGTAAGGAGCTAATCACTTGGGGTGGCCCCACTCCCATGCACTAACATTTTCACAGCTTTTTTACCAACTATTTTATTTTTAGACTATCTTTTCCCACAAAAAGGGCAATTCTGGCCCACATGAGCCCACATCAGTGACTTTGGCCAAATAACATGCACTAATCCCATCTCAAAAATGTCTGATGAGTGTCATGATGACATCATCTGAAACATTAAGTACTTGTCTTGTGATTTAAATCTTCAGGACTCTTGCAGGAGCCTGATTTGAATGCTCCCAGTGATGGGCTCCTGGGCTTTTGCACTAGGGTTAAAACGACATACCACTAATGGCTAATGGCTTCAAGCTAAAAAGGTAATCACTACTCTTGAATAATTGCACAGAAATTTAACCATTACATGTAACTGTTAACTACAGATGGCAATTAGTACAAGAGTGAAAAATTGTGAGGGACCTAAGTGTTTACTTTACTAGGAAAGGGATAGCAAAAATGTTATGGACCCCGAAATTAATTCCATAGAACTTAAAAAAAAAAAACCCACCTAACATATTATTTGTATTTTCACATTTACAAACAAGTAAACATTATGTAGTTGTTATGTTAACTACCATTAATTTTTCATTGGTATTTAGAATTGTTACAAATTGTGTTGCTCTTATGTTCTTAAAGATGAATTATAATGAAATTTGGGAAGAAATATCTACTTTTCTGTATTTTAAAAACAATGCCAAGTGAGAAATTTCATCCCAGATTAAAGATTGATATCCTCTCCTTCCCTCCTCAGGTTGGGTGTTCAGGTTAAACTTCAACCATCTGGTTCTAACCATCTTGGGAATATCTCTCCCACCACAGATTTCCAGTCCCTTCCACTACCAGCTTTCCACTCACAGTTCTCTGCCCTTAAACCTCTACCTCCACAACTGTTTATTTCAGTCAGATTCCCTCAGCTGGGACAGTGTGATAAGCTTTAAAATAATCTGAATAATAACTAATATAGCTTATTACATAACACTTACCACTTCTTGTGGAATTCCATGGTTCTTGAGATACACGAATCCAATTGTACTAAAAGCCTGATAAACTTGATCAGCGAGTTGTTTAACAGCTTCAGCATTTTCCTTCAAGGGATCCTTGTGTGTCAGGCTCATTGCACTGAAGTCCACTACAGGAATACCTGATATGTTCTCCGTCATCTTGGAGGAAACGTATGATGGTCTAAAACCAAGCAGAAATCCAGCATTACATTTAAATCAGTCGACAGTAAGGCAGGGATGTTCTTCTTTATAAGTTGTTTAAATGAAAAGAAAACGTGCACCCAAACAGACTGTAATAATGAACAATTCTTTTTTTCAAGTGTTCTAACGTGCATGACGAACTGCGTATGATGTGCAACCTAAAAGAATTCCAATAACTTATTTTAAAATAACCTTCCAAAAGAGTGTGGAGAGTCATGCTACTCACTGACAAGGAAAAATCAAATAATATTGTTACCTTCGACGTGAACTTAACCTTCGATTTACTCGATCGAAAAAAAAAAAAACACTCCAGTTGACTCTGGTTGCGAGAGGTAGGTCGAGAGTCAAGGAAAGATCAGAGCCCGCAGACTCGTGATCAGAGGTTTGAACCATCAGTCACGAATCTGCAAAACACGAAAGCTGCCGCACAGCGATAATCCACGATTAAATACACTCTCGTTTATATTAGTGTTATTTTGTTTGCTATTTTGTTTTAGTAGTAGATGGAGGGTCTGACAAATACCGGCAAAATTTTTGCCAGTATTTGTCAGACCCTCCATGTACTACTAAGGGCGCGCGCCGCAGTCTGTTGTCGCATTCTCCCATTTGAACACTTGCCTACCCTTGGATATCAAAGATGCCTCCTATTATCAACGCCGACAGACCTACGACAGCTGATCTTGAAGCCCTTGAAGAAACGTACACCCGCTTATAAGAGCTCGAAGATTCTAACAAAATTTTAAGAAGTTTTGCTGTTTTTAGGACGGGGTTTTTGGCTTCGAGGATAGCGATTAGTATAAGGAGGCTGCTTTTTGGCCTGGACAAAGAAGAAAGCAATTAAAGCGTGGTGAGTCTTAGCCATAACAGAATGGGCCGCGGAAGAAGAGAGCCAGTTGATCAAAGCCAAAAGAAGCCAAAATTTTCAAATACCCAAAATAAGTGGTGACGCTTTGGAATGTCGAATGACGGTAAAATTTTATTATTTTTACCCGCTGATGTTGTTGATGAGATGAAACGGGTGAACCCACAAAAGGTCGCCAATATTCTCTTTGTCAAAAGAAATGTAAACAGAGACATGCGTGTCTGAGCGTGTAATATTTCGCCCTGGGGAAATCGTAATCAGCTGGTTATTTTTTTCACCCTAGTGAAAGCTCTTTGTTTTACCGCGTTTCGTGCCCGATTTTTCCTAGAAAAAAAAATGAAAAGTATCATTTTCACTGACCAGGCCGAGAAGAAATGCCGTATTCTAACAAACTGTGGGCGAAAAAGAGAAATCTTCCTGTAAAATTCCTCTTGGCTACAACATTCCTGATGGCTTCAACTGAACCCAAAAGGAATGCAAGCGGCGTTTTTTTTTTGATCTTTATGCGAACGTCCAGCGCGCGAAACGTGACACGTTTACCGCCGACATCTACTATTACATAACGACCGAGTTTGGTTACGCGAAACGTGACCTTCGTCTTGAAAAGGGTTTTCTCTGACAGTTATTAAAGTATCTCACATTTGTAAACACGTCTAGTCGTTGCTTTGATTAGCTTGTCACAACAATGCTCCGTTGGCGTAACCAAACACGGTCGTTATGTAATAGTAGATGTCGGCTGTATCCGTGTCACGTTTCGCGCGCTGGATGTTGGCATAAAGATAAAAGAAAAATAATTGTATTGTGAGCTTGGGCGGCCTGTGGCCGTCCAAGTAAACTTAAAATGGCGGCTTCTGCAGGATCGCAAATTCCGGTGGTTGACTTCAGCGTCATGAGCCTGGAAAACGCAGCTCCTTTGACCGAAAACAACCAAGCTGTCAAGATTGTTGCTAAACAGCTTTACAGGGCTTTTAGTACTATTGGATTTGTCTATTTACAGAACCATGGAATTCCACAAGAAATGGTACGGTACTATCCCTTTGGAGTGATTTGGATCTGGATCTACAATCGTGGACAAAAGTCCTTGGGACACTTACGTAATTTAACGAATTGTATGTGTTTTACTACTGAAGTTTGAAAAAAGCGCTGCTTTCCTTTTGAAAACGCGTTACTGTTCCCCGTCCCCACCCGGTACAATGTTGAAAATCAGAACAAATTGCAGGTAGTAGTTCTCAACATTGTATGGGGGTGAGGTTAGGCAGGTGAAGTTGTATTCGCGTCTGGCCTGTGCTCAAAAGCGCCAAAAGTGCAAATTTGTCCCAAGACTTTTGTTCATGATTGTAGATCTCTCAGATCAAGATCCATCAAAGGAACCAATGAATCCAGTCTGGTCACAGATTCATCGGTCCAAGTGATCCCTGAACGAGATCATTCCAAATGGGTGGCTTGAAAACACAGACCTCTAAAACGCAAACCCCTCGAAAACACAGACCTTTAAAACACAGACCTCGAAAACGCGGACCTTGAAATCACAGACCTTGAAACACAGACTTCAAAAACACAGACCTTGAAAACCTTGAAATGCAGATCTCGAAAACACAGACCTTGAAAAGGTTGTCTGTATACTCATGAGAAGCTTTGTTCCTTTACAAAATCGACGGGAAAAAGAAGATTTAAAAAAGCCCAAAACTATCATCGGGACCGGTTCAAGTTTATTAATTTTATAAAGTAGTGAAGCTTCCCAATGAGTACTCAGACAACCTTTTCAAGGTCTGTGTTTCTGAGGTCTGCATTTTCGAGGTCTGCATTTTCGAGGTCTGACCGTTTTCGAGGTCTGCGGTCTGTGGTCTGTGTTTTCGAGATCTGTGTTTTCAAGACACCACATTCTGAATAATAGTATTAATAATAGCTCAATTATTAACGTGTCTTTATTAACCTGTCTATACAAAGATATTAGTAAATACAAAATCTAAAATAAATAAAAGTCCCTCCCATCCTTTTCTGCAGGATCTAACACGTATCTATGTATAACAAGTAAGATAACAACTAATTATTATTACATAAATGACAATCATTGCAATTATTACTTAAAATATCTGAAACTAAGGTCTAACTTTTTCATGTTACTTTTAAAAACATACAAGGTTTCAATCATTTAAACAATAAATTTTGGGAGCTTAGACCAAATAAAAGGACCTGTGTATCTTAAATTGTGTCTCCTGTAGGTAATGGTATTTGAGCTAGGCAAGGAAAAATTGTCTTTATTCATAAGGCTATAATTACTCATTACAACTCAATAGTTCTGAAATAGACATTACATTGGAACAAAATTGTTCTTAATTAATCACACTATTCATAGCATATCGTTTAATTTATATTACTCATATGGTTTGTTAGGCACATTTGATCATATTCACATGTTAATTTGCACCTTAGAAATATTAAATATTATTATTATTATTATTATTATTATTATTAAGTCTTTGAAACAATAAGATAGCAATATCTTGGAGTCTGCGGTTACGTAAAGATGTAAGATTAGCTTGAAATCTTTAAGAGTTCTTTATACGAGCTACTAGAATCACAGTAAATAGCATGCAATGCCCATTGTAGCAGCAGCTCAACTTTCCTGTCATCAGAAGAACAACAGTGGTGCCCTACTATATGGCAATACAGTATGTGATCTGGGGTAAAATAAATGCTTTATAAATTATATTGTCAATTTGCCAAGAGTTGGTATTAAATTCCTCAACTCCATAAGTACTCCTACTAACACACTGCACCCTAACAGTTACAAGAAAGAACATAACACGTTCAGAAGCCAAAATTAGGTAATTTCACTGCATTTTTGCTGAAAAAAGTGCTAAAGATGGAAAGCATTGACTGTACTGGCTACTTCTATCTCCAAACTCCTGCACACTGGTCTTTTCCCTTACTTTTCCTGATTTAATATTTTGCAGGTGGACTCTATGTTTGAAACATTTGATCAGTTCTTTAACTTAAGTCCTGAAGTGAAAGCCAAGTATGCCAAGAAAAAAATGACAGTTCAAAACGTAAACCCTCAAAATGGTTGGGATGCAGTAGAAGTAGAAAGGTCTGTCGTATTGGACGATCCCATGTAATATCTGCACCCCTCTATTGAGGAGCTTTAAATTTTACCCCCTCAGAAAAGTAAACTTTTTACATCCCTTCAAGAAAAAAAGATCAAAGTGCTGACACACTCTCCCCTTCAGAATTTATAAATTAAGATCAAAGGCACCACCACAGTTGCCACCTCAGAAACAGCCTTTAAAGACCCCATTCAGATTTCCTAGATCCTCACTAGGTGGGGTGGTAGGGGAGGGGCGGGGGGTGCAGATAAAAAAATGGAATAGCCCATTGATTACACTGTTTTATTAAGAATTTTGTGTGTATCTTTGACAATGTATCTGAAGATTATAAAGAAGTGGCTTTGTCATCTGTACAAGCCCACTATTGATCCCGCCACACAAATGATCCCAGGACTGCAAATGATCCCCAAATTGGACCAGAACTGATCCTAGAATGGGCAAATGATTCCTACAGATGATGCCACAAAAAATTAGGAATGGTGTGGACTCCATGAAAGTTCTATGCAGATTATATATTTCTAATTACTCTAAGTGAAGAAAAGTCAAGCAACTGAAGGCATAAAAGCAACAGTAAATAATGGTAAACATACTGCACACTTTTTCAATGAAACGAGCAGAAAAATGATTTTTTCTCCATCATAATCACAGATCCTAGAAAGACAATAATCCATGCTAGCCCACAAAGAAGATGGTGGACATTACTTACTACCACCACTCCCCTTTTTCCACTTGCCTTTATTATCTAATGATAGTTACTTGATAGAAACTGTAAATAATAAATAATAAAAGTAGAGTGAATCTGAATTTTTGTTGCATTTTTTTGTTGCAGGACAAACCCAAACAGACCTGGAGACTTGAAGGAATCTTTTGATCTGGAGTGTTTTGATGATGAAACTTTTGTGAGTTAACATTGTCTTGCTATTTTATAATTCAAATCTTGAGATTATATTTTGAGGTTGTTTGAGCACTGAATTTGAACATTGAATTTTTCCAAACCTAATCATCAAGAAAGTAGATCATCTATGGGATACTCATATATGTGCTAGGAGTGCTGCCACTTCTCCTAAGCATGCTGCTAGTCCATAGCAGATTACCCAGTGTTTGCAGGTTTCCCTAGCAGTACTCTGGTACCCACTATAAATATATACACCTTGCCAGAGAGGCTAACACCTTGAGGAAAACAAAAATGAACAATAATTATTGTAATATACAATGTTGAGACACAGCACTATTGCTAATTGACAAGGTATGGAAATGAGGGAATTAACTCCAGTTAAAGACACATGTTTAAAGCTGCTTAGAATTGCCATTGAATATATCCCTTCAGGTTTTCCCTGCAAGCTACCATAAATTAATAATTTGCCTATACATGTAGTATCTTCTTTGGCAGTAATTACTGGACCCAAATTACTCAATACCCCATCCTCCCATCTGGCTTAGTTGGTTGAGCAATGGTGATCTTATCCTTATGTTGTGGGTATGAATTCCTCTTGAGTTCAAAATAATTTTTTTTTTACTTTGTGTGCCTGTCCCAATTTCCTTTTTAGGGTTAATGCTTGGAATAAGGTTATTTCCAGCACATAAAATTTCAAGGGGGCAGGGAGGGTAGTCCCAGAAAAATTGTAGGTAGGGGTATGCAGCTCACCTCCCAAAACCCTTAGCCTGACCCTATGTCAGGCCTGTCTTATAATTAGTCTTGTAGCTCAGAACGATGTTAAGGGCTTTGTGATGATGTTATCAATGATGATGAAAAAGTAGCTCTTCTAAAAAACATACCAAATTCAAGAAGAGTGCAGAAACCTTCCTTTATTTGAGACTGAAATGGCTAAAATTGATACCTTATTTCTGTCTAAAATGGCTACAAAACCATACACTTTGGGAGTGCACATACCTATATAGTCCATATAAGGGAGTACCCCCCAGATAAAATTACTTTCAATGGAATTAATTTTCTACCAGCTTCCGTCTACAAGAAAAAGGTGTCTCTTCAACAAACACAACATAAATACTTGATCGAGTCAGGATTGAACTGGGTTGTGTTAAACTCAGGACAAGTGAACCACTAGGCTGTGTAGCTTTAAGAAGCAGTATATGCAGCACCTCCTAAAATACTAATATAGTTAATAATAGTAGTCACTTGTATTTCTGTAATTTATTTATTTTCATTAATGTATTTTTGTTTGACGCATTTACCTTAAAGGGGCTCAGTCACAGTATTATGAGTTGTTTTGGCCACATACAAAATTACATGTACCTTCAAATGGTAGGAAACCTGAAAATAACAGTTTAATAAGATAGAAAAACACTGAAGAGATAATGATAAACCATAAAGGAACAAGGATGGCTAAGGATGGAAAAGATTAACCTGGATTACAAATGACAAATTTGAAAAATTGAGGCTAAACTTTTCAATATGCACAAACTGTGACTGAGCACCTTTAACATCGTGGTAACCAGCTCAAAAGCTAATGGCTACTCTGATTATTATTATTATTATTATTATTATTATTATTATTATTTGCCACACAATAATAGAAATTACAAATAATATAGGAAAAGTAGAAAGAAGTGGCGAGGAGACCTAACAGAAACTATAGGGCTAGAACTGTTTAACATCAGTTGAAGAAAAGATGGCGAAAGTCAAAAATTGAAAGATTTATAATAAACTGTTATTCATGTTTTCTTAATAATTTAATCTTCAGTATTTTCTTAAAAGAGGAAAGGGATTGAGAGTTGGTGACCTCGTTGTCAAGTGAATTAATAAACTTAGGTCCTTCAAAATAGGGCGAAAACTTCTTAATGTTTGTTCGACAATACGGAAGACGGTAGTTCTGAGAATTTCTAGTATTGTAGGAATGGAATTGATTGCTTTAGGTGAAATTGTTATGAAACCTTGCACATATTTTTTATTCTTTCCATAGCCATATACAACATATTTTTCTCTTCTCATATTTGTTTTATACTAATGTAAATTAATTCTGTAAGTAGTGTGCAACAAAAGTTGATTGATTGATTGCTTGATTGATTGATTCATTGATTGATGCAAAAAAAGCTGCCATTATGAATTTTACTCTAAATTAAAACCTGATAATTTATTCTCTTATAGGCCTGGCCCAATACAGAAGTACCAAATTTTAAGAGCACTGTGAGCTCTTTTTACCAGTCAATGAAGGATCTCGCATTAAGAGTGCTCACTGTGATGGCAATTGGTCTTCAAATTGTGAGTTGTGTGTCTAAAATCTTATCTTAAAGTTCCAATTATTCATAAACATGCTCTTAAATGCCAATTATATTTTGGCTAATTTGTGAGTAGCTCCCTTTACTGATTATACTCTCTATTACCAAGGAACAACATTATCATATCACAGCAATGGTTTGAGTTAATTTTGGGCTGGCCTGCATTGTTACAAGGTTTGCTCTAATTGACCAAACAAAATAATAGCTAAACAACACAAACAGTGCCCCTAACCCTAAGAACAAAAGAGGTGCAGATAAGCAAGGACAAATCAAAATATAGTTTTCTTTAAGAGGTGCAGGTCAACTTTTAATTTTGAAATAATTTTATCTAACCTTTGGATGTACAAGTGGTGGGGGGGGGGGGGG